ACAGTAGAAAATCTGAAGAAATGGTTCGGATCGGTTCACTATAATATATAGCTGCCATACAAGCTAACCGATTGAAATCTCAAAAGCTAAAAAAGTTAATATTTTTCCTTATATAAAACAGCCACACATTTGCTCTTCAAAATCCATATGCAGTTTTATTTCAATCTTAAAATATACCAATGTATTTCCTTATAACTAARCATATAAATATAGTCCTTATTATTAAATATATCCTTAATATCCCACCAAGCTCCACCAAGCTGTATTGTAGTTATAATTTATATGAAAATAAAGCTATCAACCGCAAACGCCAGTCACAACAAGCATAATAACATTTTGATTTTCAACATCATAAATCATGGCGAAAATAAGCGAGAACTGCGACGATGACAAGCAGCAATTTCAAAAGTCAATACAGCGCACAACACACCAAGAAACACACACAACAGTACGAATGAGTGTATGTGTGTACATAACAAGCTCAAAAGCCGAAAACTATGCAAATTGCTGTACTAAGCAAAAGCTGAGACCAAACAAAAGTAGTGAAGGCAAAGGCATATGTTTCCATGTATGCGCATGTGTATGTATGTGTGGCAGTGTAAAGAAAGCATATGTGTGGTTTAGCAAAATGTCACGTATACGCCATGTGCGGTCGGTAGCCATGGTGGAATTGCGACCGTCGCAAGGGTTRGGAACAGACTGTAAATGACTATTTCGTTTTCTGATTGTTTAGATATTAAATTGAGCACAACGATGCGATCATAGTGCTTGGCAGGCGAATGAAAAACAAGATAAATTGAATGCTCAATAAAACAAATGAAAAAGCAATTGGGTGTACATATGTAAAAACGGATGAAGTGATTAGTATAGGCAGYTTAAAGAAAAAGGGTTCAAAAGGCATGCAAATATAGCAAATGGTAAAAGGTTTTTTTATGCAACGGACAGTAGGGGCAGGAAGTTTAAAAAATGATACTAAGGAAGAGATGGTTACGAGCTGAAAGGGTTTAGTTTTCGGAGGGTAAAAGCGGTGTGGCAATGTTAGTTAGAGAGATGACGAAAATAAATCGTTGCGATTGTGGAGCAATTCAAAGGGGAAATGATACGATAAAGATTGTGCACAAATTAAAATTTCAGTTCGATTTCACGCCTTAAAAAGCTATATTAAGATAGACATACTATACCACTTCATATATTTTTAATTYTTTTTTWAATTTTTGAGAGATGGCTACTCTTCAAAAAATATAACTACTGTGTTATAGCATAAAATTGGTAATCTCGTTTTGCAATAATTCATTCAAAAATTTAATTTTTTTTTTTAATATGTGGCATTGAAAATTTAATTTATTATTTTATTATGTGGCAGCACTTTTCTCAAATTAACACGACAAAATTTATCTAATACTATCCATCCTTTCTCAAACACATTTCATGGAGTTTATTTTTTAGTTTTTTTTTTACATATACATATTTTTAACGGCTGGCAACCCCTAAATAATAAACCTACTGTGTTTTTGCTTAAATCTTTTCATTTATATGTTAAAGTTCATTTTTCATAGCAAATTGAAACTAATATTTTTTAAATAYGTGGCAACACTTTCTCAAAAATTTTATAAACAGAAATATTTTTTCGATTTCTGTATTATTAACACATCTAACTTTTCTCAAACACATTTAATTGAGTTTWTTTTAAACAAATTTTAAGTATMTATTTTTAACCGATGGCAACCCYTACAACATATGTACTTAGTTTGTGYTCAAAATTTTTATTTTTAATTTATGACTCGCAGCATTAAATTGTGGCAACACTTTCCGAAAAATTTTACAAGCAAAAATATTTCTTCACCTTCTGTAGTTTCAATATTAGCTTGTAAAATTTGTGTCAAAATATGTAAAAAAGTGGCAGCACTCCAAACTAATATATTATTATTATTTTTTTGTTTTGTGGAACTAGTTCTAACTTCTTACCTGTTTCATTCAATTTACGTTGTAAAATTAATTTTTTAAAAAAAAATGTAAAAGTGGCAACCCCTTTTGCATAAATTTAACCAAYACAGATATTTCTTCAGCCTCTATAGTTTCGATGTTCATTTTGTAATATTTGATTTTTTTCAACAAATTTATATGCTTCAAAAAAGTAAATAGGTGGCAGCTCTTCAAAACAAGGTGTCCTTAATTTCTATTCAAACTATTGAGTTTTATTTTCCGTTTCGATTCAAATAACTTAATGATTTCTTATATTTTTCGAACATTTGGCAACAGCTTTCTCAAAAATTGAACCTAAAAATATATTTCTTCATACTCTATAGTTTGAGTGTACATTTTGCAATATTTGCAAAAATTTAGAGAGGTGACAGCTGTTCAAACATAGTATGCCAATTTTTTTAAAGGTATTGAGTTTTTGTTTCCGATTCGAATCAATTAACGTAATGATTGTAATCTAATATTGTTCAAACTGTGGCAACGCCTCTCTCATAAATTTATCATACAATACAAATATTTTTTCAATGTTAATTTTGTAATCTTTTATTTCTTTAATTAAATTTACTTCAAATAGGTGGCAACACTTCAAAAATATTATGTCGGCGACGTTTCTTAATCGAATGCAGTTTTAATTTTAAAAATTTAATTATTAGTTTACTTTTTAAATTTAGTGTAATATGTCCACCTCCACCCTCCACCCTCATACTCAAAGAACTTATACCTATTAAAAAAATTTATACTAATGAATGTCAAGCAGGTGGCAACCCTCGCAAAATTATTTTTCAGCACAATATTTCTCAACAACCCTTTCCTACAACTTATTTCTTAGTCATTAGCTGAATTAAAAATGCATAAGTTAATTTAAAACAAGTGGCAACTCTCCGTAAATATATCTTTAAGTCTACTTTCTTAAGTTTCATTTTGTTGTGAAATAGTTTGCGTAAGTGATTAGAAACTCGTAATGTATAAAATATATTTTTTACAATAAGTGGCAACACTCCRTTGTACTATTTTTAGCTTTTAAAAGCACTGCTTAGTTTTTTCAATTCTAGGATATTTTCCAATRTAGCTTTTTTAAAAAATTTTATTTTCAATTTAACAATTTCATCTTCATACATTTGCCTTTATATTAAGTAAAAAGAGGTAGCTACCCTTCGGAAATTAATTTCATCTGTAACTTCCTTGAACGTATTTTTGTTGAGGCTGGTTTAGTCTGAGTTCATTAGTAATTCGGTATATATACATTTATTAATTACAGTTTTTCAAATAAGTGGCAACCCTACACAGCAATTTTTTTCACTATTAATAATACTGTTTACTTTTACAAAAATAAAATATTTTCCAGTTTAATTTTCTAAAAGTCTTTACTTGCACAGTTGTTAAAATAAATTTAAAACAGGTGGCAATCCTAGCTTACATTTAAATGCAATTTTCTTGAAAAACTTGTTGTTGCTAGTTGTGTTAGTTAGTAGTGATTAGTATACCTTATTGTAGTAAGAAACAATAGCTCGTTGTAGAATAAATACGTTGTTCACAACAAGTGGCAACCTTCCACATTAACTTTTTTATCTGTTAAAAATCAGGTTTGTTTTGGAAAATCCCAAACTATAAAATTACATTTTTCATACCACTCCTCACTTGCAAAGTAGTTATAATAAAAATTATTTTTRAACCGGTGGCAACTCTAATTTATTTTTAAGTACAGGTTTTTGAAGTACTTGTGGTTACTCTTTCTTTAGTGGTAATTAGATATCTTATATCGTAGTAAGTAACATAATATAATAAATACATTATTTACAATAAGTGGCAACACTCCAGAAYTACTTTTTTATTCGAAGTAATGCAKTTAATTTTTTAAAATCAATAAAACAAATTCAAGTATAMTTTTCATAAAACTTTTTAATTGCAGAATAATTTCAATAAAAATTATTTTAAAACAGTTGGCAACCCTATTTTGTCTTTGGGTGTAATTTTCTTGAATTACTTATGGTTGCAGCTTATGTAGTATTAATATGTTTATTTTACAGTTATTATACAAATTATTTTAAAACGGGTGGCAACTCTAGTTTATTATTAAAAGCAATTTTCTTGAGCTACTCGTGGTTGCTTCTTATTTAATATTAATGAATTTATTTTATTTTATAAAAAATTAAAAAAAAAAGTTTGGCAACCCTGTTGAACTTTTATTTTAGCTTTTTACGATTTAACTTATTATTTTCATATACAAATATATTTCAATAAAATTTCTCTAATAAAGTAAACGAGAATAGTGGCCGTAACGGGATATACACACCAAAAATTATGTGTAAATATTTGCTGCATTACAAAAATTTCTACCTTTTAACAGTAGAGGGTTAGCATAAGAGGCTTACAACTTTGTCTTATACTCACAAAAATTATCCCGAGTTGAGACTAATGCATTTAGTTCAACAAAAGCTTTCGCAAATGAATATTTTAACAGTWATGTAATGTATATAAATGAAGAGAACCAGGAGAGAGAGAGAGAGAGAGAGAATATAATGTGTGCAAATTTACTTTTGAAAGCAAACATTAACCCAAAAATTATTTTAAAAAATTTTTAACTGTAAAAACTAAAAAATAAACATTTCTCCTACGCTTACTCTCTTCCAGCAACTGCCCACACGGCACACCATCACGCGTACCACTCATCTCTGGCAGCAGTGGYGCCATTAACRCACACAGCACCGCCGGCAGTGCAGACGAAGRGCAGCGCGGTGCGCGCAGTCTCTTCAATGCCACTGCAGCCTCCTTCCATCGGCACACACTAAACACCTTCCAACGCAATGCGGCGGCACGTAAATCAACCACATATGCCGCAACACGACGCGCCGGCTGCAACATGCACGCAACAAGCCACCGAAGTGGGAAATCGAGCAGCTGTTATGGCGACACAGCCACCGAAACCTCCGACGACGAGGAGGCGGACGCGGAAGCGGCGTACATGCAACGTGACGCCACAGCTGGCGAACAGTTCCGCTTAACAAAACTCAACAAAGGTAACAAACAAACAAAGCCAGATGAACAGACTGCCTACTGTGATACTGATGCGACTGCCGACGAGGCTGAGGACGATGAGACCGCCTCGAATGTCGACGCCGAGACGGAGGAGACCGGYGCACAGGTGCCCATCAGCATTGTGCTGCTCATACTCATCTGCTACATATGCTTGGGCACGGTRATTTTCGCCTTCTGGGAGAATTGGTCCATTGTGGATGGCGCCTACTTTTGCTTTGTCACCTTGACCACCATCGGCTATGGCGACTTCATGCCCGAACGCACCTTCCACGGACCGCATGTGCAGCTCTTCGCTTGTTGCGCCTATCTCTTGCTGGGTCTGGTCTTGGTCGCGATGTCTTTCAGYATACTGGAGACGCAGCTAATGTGGAAGTGCAAACGGATTGCGGTGCGACTGAAGTTGGCCAATGATTGATARTGGCGACGTTTGTTGGCGCGTCGCAGCAGCGCCGGTGCGGTGGCGCAGTTTTTRTAGTATGTAAGCGGAAGCAGAAGTAGTAGAAAATTTAGTTAGTAAGTTGAAGTGTTAGCAGTAGGAAGTAAATAAGCAGGGAAAGCGTTAAATAATAATCTAGTCATACATACAAAGATCTAAGCTAAGTAGCGGTTAATTAGTGATCAGTTGAGCGCTGTAAATATTTTTGCTGTAAAAGTGCGTACGAGCGTTAAGAGTTTTACTTAAGCGGTTTATTCACCTTTAACCACCAGAGTACGATTAAGTGGAAAACCGCGAATATTGGTCAACCGCAACCCTTAAGTTTAAAAATATATACATTTTTYCCCCAAAATTACTGGATGCAGCACAGCACCTTCATGTGAAAGTTCAGTATGACTTTGTTCAAGACCAAGTCCCGAGGAGCAGAATTGTTCCTTTGATGACTAGAGAGATTTCGCCTTACCCGTGTTCACCACCATACCCATTTGTTTCGTTTCTTTGTCCACAGCAGAATGCGGCGCGTTTGTTATGGCCAATGGTATCGACGTCATCGGGGTACGTCAGCAGTTATACACTCCTATATAAGATGCCATCTTTTCTATTGAGATCTGCAGCTCGAATTATCAGACAACTCGAAAATTCAGACATCGCGGCATAAAGGCAGCTCATTTTCATGCTGTCAAAAGAAGCTTTGAGATCAACTATGTCGATTCTCTTTTCATGTTTTTTTTTTTTTTTAAAGATTTGACTCATGGTGAATATCTGGTCAGTTGTTGGTTTTCGAAGCCTGTACCCACACTGATAAGGCCCGATCAGTTTGTTGACGGTAATCTTTCACACAAACGCTCGATAGAATGCCATGTTGAGGAGACTTATTCGAAGGTACGTGGCGCTGATTGTGGGTCCTTTTTTTTTGTAGATTTGGCAAAGGACACTTAAATTTCAAGCTCCTGGCTTGCTTACGTCTGAACGCATTCTACAAAGAACCTTGTGAGTGTTCCTTATCAGTTCTGCGCAGCCATACTTTAATAGCTCGGGCATCAATCCATCGTCTCCGCCGCTTTTTTCAGACACTAGCAAAAAAAACTGAAAATTCTTCCTTGCATAGGCTTGTTTCACGCAGTTAGTTGAAGCTATTTCGATAAGTAAAGTTATAGCTTAATATTATTGCCTAAAATTTGCTAGAATTTTCACTCCAAGGTTTATCTTCCTTTACAAACCATATCTTGACCATTTGCGCAGATATTCTAATGTTTGAAGCTTATCTTCTTTCCGGAGCATTTATGGAGAAAATCAAAGATTTTATTTAKCATAGCTCTAGGCCCATGAGCAACTCTTTTATAACTTCATATATTATACTTTTTCATATTTTCGGCCTAAAAGAAAATCTCTGCTTGAGTCTTTTAAATTCCGCTCTCTAATAGTAAGAGAAGTTTCCGCCTAAATGGCGTAAATATTTCGCTTCWACTTACGAGTATACAGAGTTGCATTTGAAATACCATTGTCAACAGTTAAAGCAGCTGCTTACTTTTTTGATTCATAAAATTAGTATTCTATAAAAATGCTTCAAGTCGCCGAATATTCTCATTTCTCTGTGTATTAGCATTTGAGTCTGAAAAACAATTTCGTAAACATTGAACTAAATAAAAAAATAAGTTCAAATATGAAATGTAAATAGAGAAATAAATAAACATATATAGATATATAGATTTATAGTTAAGTAAATTATAGTATTATTAACGAATATAAATATAAGAAAAAAATAATTGTAGAGAAAATACGAAGCAATTGTCTATTAATAAGATGACGAACAAAACAGTTATGCTGTAATACAATAATGGTAAAAAAACGCYGAAAATGAGAGAGCATATTAAAGAGAATAAAAAAAACGTATAATAATATTCATAATAAATACAAAAACAATTTCGATGTAAAGCAAAAACACCCAAAAATATGCGAAGAGTAAAAGATAATAGAATAAAATTATTAATTTTTAAAAGACAAAAKTTGCTTTTATTTTATTCACAGGTGCAAATTAACCGAGAGCATTCGATCAGTTTGCATGGCAGCTATATGATGTAGTAATGCGATATCCATATATAGTTCCCACAAATGAGCAACTTCTTGGTAAGAAAAGAGCGTGTACAAAATTTTAGATCCATATCTCAAAAAACCCCCAAGGACTAGTGCGCTTATATCAATATTATAGAGTATACGACTTTTCCTCTTCGGTGCGACAAACCTCGAACAAGCGTACTTGATAGATGGAATTAACATTATTCTCTTCTACCAATTCTCCTGGCTTTTCGTTTCACGTTTGTTGCCTTTGAAATTTTTTATTGGTACTGGCGACTCCGCCACATACAGTTTCCCTAGCATTGTCATTTGATTTCTGCAGACTTGCCCCGTCTTTCATATATAATATATATTTAGCTTGGCCTTGGCCGGTGATGCTCCCTTTTGTCGAGGTCCTAGGCTCCTAGGGACAGATCGAAGTACCGATTTCGACTTCCCTCACCTACATTTGTGCGAAAAATTCATAGYTAAATGGGTCCCCGCTCAGAGCCACTATCCGTTCCCGAAAAATAGTAGCGTTTATGGAGTGGTCTGTCACGCGGTCAAGACGAGCACGCACTTATAATTCAATGCCTTCAGAGCCGATCAGCGTAAAGAGAAGAATGAAGTAAAGATGAGAAATATGAAAAGCTGATCCGCTTACGTGGAAGTTAACACTAATCTCTCTCGAGTGTCTTTAAAATGCGTTAGAATCCTTTAAACTTACATCTTAAAGATAGCACACCATAATAGTAAATCAACACCTTGAAAACAGAAATATTACAAATTCAGGAGTTCACGGTGCCTGCCTTTCTTAGAGCCAGCAGACAACCTGCTTCACCTGAAGTCACCTTATGACTACCAAGTCACATCACACCGGCTTTCAAGAGTCATCTAAGCACTGGCCAGACACGGTGCCTGCGTTTCTTATATAGAACCAAGTGACAGCCAGCTTCCCCTGAAGTCTCCKYATGACTCTTAAATCACATCACATCGCCATCATCATCATCACGAGCCATGGACCACCGTCTTTACTTATATAGAGCCAATAAGCGATCAGCAGCTCCTCAGTTAACCTTGCGACTTCAAATTCACATCACACCGAGGCGCGAGAATCATCTAAGCACTGGTCAGACATAGTGCCTSCGTTTYTTATATAGAGCCAGCTGCCAATCATTTTCTCCTAAAGTCACTTTATGAATTCCAAATCAAAAAATCTCGGCCAACCGACAGCCAAMTTCCCCTGAAATCACCGCATCACTCTTAAATCACATCGCATCACAACGCGGGCAGATACGGTCCCTGCTTTGCTCTATAGAGCCGGTTGGCAGAAATATTTCAGCTAATATATTGGTAGAAAATTCGTCTCACATTTGAATCCTTATAAACGTATATCTATCAGAACCGCGAACTGTTGGAGAAGAAGAGCAGTGAGCATGGATGAATCGAGTTTACGGGAAAGAGTGGTGGTGAAGTATCGCTGACTGTCTGTCAACGAGTTCTTGAACTCACTAGCAATAGTTTCAAGCTTTTTCTATATCAGACTTGTATTGCTGCCCGGTCACAGCGGAATCGCCAGAAACAGCAAAGTCGATGAGGTTGATAGTACTTCACTCTTGCTCCAATTTCATACTATTAGGAGCGAGGCGGTTTTCTGGTGTATTCTTGTTCAGGCGCTGAACATTTTAAGGTCCAGTGAGCCTAGCTTTCTAGCTCAAAGTAAAAACTACGCGGTCCTCTAAACCACTAGCTTTTAGTCAAGTCAATCTCGTCGCAATTAAAGGTGTTCTGTCTGGATATAATCCAACAGATACACGACTAAACGAATAAATATTTTCTCAAAGCTGTTTGGAGTGAGACGAGGTGGCAATATSTTGTCYYTTTTCCTCCTAAGATCCGAGAAGAACTGAGAATTAAATGTCTTTGAAGAAGTTAGCGAAGTGGCTGGGACTGTGGGGAGTATAATTTTTCTTCTATCGTTGTAATAATCCTCTTCTTATACCCAGAATGTAACCTGATAACTACCAATTTCTATCAGAAGATCTCAAAAGCTTAAAAATATGAAACAGTTTCATTTCATACCATAGGACCCATTATAAAAAATAAATAAAAAACTAGCAATTAAATATGTAAATTCTTCCTCATAATCCAAATTAGACATTAAACTCACAGTGACAGCCACCTAATTGGTATCGTTGTATATAAAAAGCTCACTTTGAAAATTAACATACGGTCCTGAGAGCGAAAAAAACACAACAAAAAGTAAATACTTATGTGAACCTCATTACTGTCTATACTGTCTGTCCGTGCACATATATTTAACTGTCCCCAACGACAAAACTTTGTATGCGAGTATGTCTGTAGGCAAATGGAAAGTGAAAGCAGGCAATCAACCATAGAAGCAACGGTACTCGCCCCTCAAACGAAGAGCGGAGTGAGTAAATAAACGGTAATGGACGCGCATAAACAAATATTTGAATTTTTTAATAGATTTGCCGACGTGCCGACCAGCCTAATGTTATTTTATTTTGACGATGTAGCGCGAATTTACGAGCGATATACAAAAATTTGCCAAAACAAAAAACGAGCGCAAAAACAATGCTACGAACAAGCGTATATGGCAACGAGMCTGAAAGGCACAACTGACATGGGGAAAAGCGAGGCGAGCGGCTGGTCAAAAATAAATATCAATTTAAATATGCCATACATGGAACAACAAAAAATTCAGCCGGAAGCAGTGAAAGCTAAACAACAAATATTTGCTCTGGCGCTTTACATATACAAAATAAATAAATAATTTAGGAATGCAAGCATTTAAATTTATATGCATAACGGGGAATTAGTAAAAAATACAGCAACATAACACAGTAAATGAGAGTATATATATATATATTTTTTTTTTTTTTTTGTTTGCTTTGAAATGACAAGGGGACTACATGGCTCAGTGCCAATCGAGTAACCCAAGAGAAAAACTTGAAACTTGAATAATACAAATAAAGGGTGTATTTTTTGAACATGTGATTTTTCGTATGAAATAYACTTCTTAGCTCAATTATAAAGATAACGGTTTATTATGTTTAAAAAAAACAATGTCGGGAAATG